ACTGACTGAAGAATTTATCAACGTGGTGCATACTATACTTTGTATGTAACTTTCGAAAAATGAATTAAACTGTTTTGTGCAATCACTCTGTACAAAGTGCCCGTCAAATATCTCCTCGATCTGTACCGCAATTTGTACCAGACATAGGAATTTCGAACAATATTTTCTCAAATATCTAGCGGACTCAAAGTAAAAGTTAAAAACAGAGACTTTTTAGTTTTTTGTCAATAACATATACACCCTGTACATAAAGGAAATAAAAGTAATGGGTCCAAACAATAATTTTTCTGATAGCGTAAATAGGGTTCGAGAAAAAACTTTTTTCTCTGGAACACAGAACTACTACAAAAAGTAACCTAAAAAAAATTCATAAAGTTCCTCCCGAAGTCCGATTGAGCCCAACTACTCCATGTTACAGGGGAGGGTAACCCTCCCCCTTCTAAATTTAAAACCCTTATTTTTTTAAATACTTGAAATATACTTCCCTCCCTCCAACCTCCATAACTTCCATCATGAGACCAAACTTTGTTTTTGTTATACTTTCTTTGTCCTTAGAAATGCTAGAAAAAGAACAATCGCGAAGAAAATATGGATGCCGGTGTCAGGTCGCTCTCCTTGTGTATTGATGTATGTGTTCCGTCGACTGTTAAGAAAGGGCCAAATGTCAATCCCCTAGCTCAAATCGTTCGAAAGTTATCGCCGTAAAAGCCAAATTACACACAACTGAGAATAGACAAAACAAAGATTTTTTTTCGTGCCGTTACCGCGATATAATATAAAATATTTATGCGATGAGACTTTCGAAAAATTTGATTTTCGTATACCTACACATATAGATAAGCGACGACTGACGACTGCCTCTGATTCGATATAATTAGCTTAATTTTGTAGACTTGGCAGCAATTGCAATCGTATCATTCGTGACACAACGCCAAGTTTCCGTCTCTAGAACAGGTTGGTCTTAAAATAGGGTATATGAAATATACAGTATGTGAACAATATGTCGAACAATTTCGAATAACCGTCTTGTTGACCTAACTTTATGTTTATTGCGAAACTGTCCAAACTCCAGCACTTCTAAGCTGCCTAACAGTATTACAAACAGCAATTATATTATAATCAGATTAGTTTTAATTTGTACAATACAAGACAAGTTGCTGAGTACACAATTTGAACTTTTACGAGAAAGCCGACCCATACTTTTACTTTTTTCTAGTGCCGGGTGATATCAGACAAAACGAAAACAGGCCAGCGTGATAGTCGGTTGTAATTTTTTTTTAAATACTGACGTCATCGAATTGTTTATTTAAATTTAAAATATTCTTGGAGCATCCCCAACAATATGAAAACTAATTTTTGAAATAAATTGCATATTTATATTGCTACTTTTTCCGCTCCGTTTCTGCAATTATTAAAATATAAAAAAAGGAAAATTCGGACCTAATTTTAAAACGAAAAGGTGGCGCTAAAATTTTTTGGGATACAGCCAAAAAAAATAATTATGCATTTTGTTTTTATTATTAATTAGTGACAAATGACATTCCTATAAAATTTGGTACATGTAATAACGGACTTTAATACTTTACTTCGTACATTTTGAACTTTTCAATTATTTCACTTTAGATGAGTACTATAATTTTTATTTAATTAATTAATTGACTAATCAAATTCGATCAAAATGTTTTATATGATATCTTGCAATTGTAGAATGTTATTTATCATTATTTAATAATAATGTGTGTTTTACAATAAATTATTATGCTTTTGTGTGTCCAGTTTACCTCTTCAAGGAATCCCGAATACGATACTTAGCTAACACGGGAATCCCAATAAAAATATCGACCCAATTTAGTTCTCAGAATAAATTCATATAAACTTCAATGTATTTTTAAAATTATTTCCGTCGATTGACCAGGCAATTGAAACAAAAAAAACGTTTCTTGCATTCTTCTGGTAGCCCTTACGGTTTAATAGTTAGCAATCATTTAAATTGCTCACCTTATGTTTACTCGCCACTAACTAATAATAAAAAGAAATCGCATCAAACCTGTGTTTCGAAAACGATATTAAAATTAGGTTAGAATTCTGCTCGTTCCTTTTGTAAGAGAGGTTAGGACACACCCCGAATATAAAATTTTTCATTCGTCAAAACAACTTTGCTTATAATTTTTTTTTACACTTATCAACATATCAAATCAAATATATTGTAAACTTATACTGTGCAAAACGCTTTCGCGAATAAGAGTTTCGTATTGTTGGTGTTGCCTAATTTCCAAAATTAGCCAGAAAGCGCCGTTATTGCGGCTACGCCGCTGGAGGCAAAGTGGTGCCGACACAATTTAATGCCCCGCTAAAATATAAATATAAAAGATGCTAAGCATAAATTTTTCATATCATCACTCTGCGGGTCATCAATCAATTCGAATTAGGGAACGTGAACCGGTTTTGTAGAGAAACAAGGGATAAATTTTCGTTTCGAATAACCGAGAACAATTTCTGGCGGATTTGTTGTTTTCTAACAAGTTTGCGAATTTTGTTTCGCGTTTATATACGACTCAGGGGATTTTACAATAAAAACAAACTTACGAAACTGTTGTTTTTGACGATATTTTTATCTAACAATGATTTAGAAAGTTATAATTTTAAGATTTGTCAGCGAGCAGCACATGGGCAATCTCTCATTTAGAATTGTTATTTAAAAAACCCTGCCAGAATGTTACCGTTAGACTGGAAATATTTATCCACAATCTGCCGGCTGCCTGAAGATTATTTAATTTAGAAATTCAATACGCTCGATGAAGCTTTTGAATCCGCGCCATTACCTTTCCAAGTAATCTCGAAAGGGGTTGATTATAATTCATTTACCTTAAACTTTAAAATGGGATTTATGCAGCCCAATGATAAAAAAATATTTTAAAAAATTATCTCATCCGCGCTGAATTTTCATAAACTTCCTGTTTCCCAGGGAAATGTGCAAATGTATCGTTTGTACATATTAAATGTTCGCGTCAAAGTATTTCGCTTACTGACGCGTTTTTATAAAAATCAATTTGAGAAAAGGTTAGTGGTAAATTATGCAACAAGTGTGGTGAGCGGCGTTTGAGTCACAAGTTTATTTGGCACGAACGGAGCGAGTATTTAATAAACGAGCGACTTATAAAGTTTACCAAACGTGTTGCATACTATCCTTTTTCTACGACCGTTAGTTTTTGGGTACATTTTTGCAAAACACCAAGAATGCATTCACTGACATGACCGCCAGAATAAAGAAATGTCAAAATTCAAGCCGTGTTGCTCCTAAACCCGTGCGGTAAGGGATCTCTGCGGTAATATGGAAATGTCCGAATCCGCGTGAAACGAAACTGGCGTGGTAAAATGACACTTTCTTGTGTATAATTAAGTATTTCATAGAAAGGAATAGAAAAAATCTATTGTTTTACCATTTTGAGCATTTTTCTATAACGAGGTATTTTACAGATGGGAGTAGAAAAAACAGTTTGTATTGTATTACTTGAAAATACAAGTAGTTTTCGTTTTATAGATATACCATCAGTATTATTTTGTTTAATAAATTTTGAGTTCGGTTGCCACCCGTTTTTAGAAAATTTTTAAATGTCTCTTAAAAATTTTATTCTTACTGCAAAATTATTGTTGTCTTCATTGTTTTAGAAGTTTTGTTCAGTGGTTTCATTGGACGATAACTTAAAAAAAAACAATGATATACATATCTGTAAAACTACCATTTTGATTAATGTTCAAGTTCGTGAACAATTAACAATAATAATAGTAATAATATTCATTTATCCAAAAAAGTATTACATTTAATACACTGATAATTTTAATTCTTAACAGGGTAAATAATAAAAACGTCCATTAATGAAAAAAAATTTTTAGTGACAACGGTGTACGGGTTATACTATAATTATAATAATTAGGTACTTAATTAAATGTAACGCAGAAACAATAAATAAACTGTACATTTAACTTATTACATTTTAATTAATAGCTATGTATTCTGAGGGTCAAACAAATCACGTAAAAGTTTCCTTGATTTTTGAAATTAACGTTTTTGATTGATTGATCATTTAGTATATTAAAGATTTAGTACTTATACTTGATCAATCTGATAAAACACTTTTTACAAAACTTCTGGATTCCTCCTGCGTTGGTTTTTGCTTAGTCGAAATTGCTGACGACTAAGCAAAAACCGACGCAGGAGGAATCCAGAAGTTTTGTAAAAAGCATTACAGTAGCCCGTGGAAGTTTCGTTGAAAAATTGATAAAACACATTTCTTCGCCATACATTCTATTGCGCAAGTACAAAACCATAGAACAAAGAACAAAGTAACCATCACCATGAGTTGCTTTATACTTTATAAAGCTACTTTTACCTTAAACAAACCACAATTTACGTTTTTTTTTAATAAGCTTAAAGAATTGTATTTTTATATTCTCGGGTATACAATTGTATAATTTAGGTGCGAGGTAGGTATGGCAATTGTGAGCGCTTTGCATTTACGTTGTACTATACACTATAACAAAATGGCTCACCTGGATCTACTACAGTGCAGTTCTTCTCTGAGGCTTTTTATATATTACGTTTAGTATGAATTTTTGAATTTTATCACATCTTTTAATTAGAGAGTGTGTCGCTTCTCCCTAGTTATGTGAGACAATATCTAATGCATATTTCCATAAGTTCATAATACATAAGTTTTAAACACTAAAAGGCTTCTGATTTTCTCTGTTGTATAAGTAACATCAACATCCCATCTCAGGTGGCGGTTCAAGTAAATACCTAAATATTTGACTTGATTTCACCCTTGTTCTTATTTACTGTTAATAAAAGTTTCGCAAATTCCGGGAGATTTTTTGCGTAAGATGTGAATGACAGGAAATAAGTTTTTTCACAGATTGAAAAGAACGGGACTCAGAACGTATTGTACTCCATACATAACAGTTTGAGTTTATTAAACTATAGCTGACATTTATTGTTTCAGACACAAGAGGGTACAAAACTTTTTGCCATGCAAAAATTCTCCGCAAAATAACTGCGACGGCGCGGCTACCACAGGGTTGTACGAAGATCTCAGCGATGTTATGCCGAGGCCTACGCCTGCGCACCATCATCACCTCCATCAACTTACAAGCGGGCATATCGTAGCACCATCTATCGAGGTAAGAAATGGTGACCATGTAGAAATACATCGTATATATTATACGCGTCTATATTTTTTAGATGATAGATGTAAAAAATAATGTCCACTACCCCAGCGGCTATCCGATCTCACAACATCCACCGGTGTTTCTCTGTTCATCGCCCGGTCCAGATCCGTACTGCTCCCAAGACTTATACAATCCAGTATACGAAGAGCTGAGCGATGCGGACACGGATATGGAGAGACATGCGCCACATAGCGAAGACGAATTCGCTGAAGACGAATTGAGCCTCGGAGGAGATATGGAGAGGAGAAGACTGGAAGCACCGCCTCCGCCGTATAGGATAACAACCTCTCAATTTAGAAGAAGCATACCCCGAATAAGGAGGCCGCACGAACCCTTGCCACCTATACCCAATAACAAAAAACAGAGGTAAGTGGGTTCGTAGAAAGTGTACACCTAAGAAGTCTTCCCACTCTAGTAGCAGCATATTAAAACACCTGCTCCAAATCCCAAATGTAATAGGTTAAAATTTGTATGCATCTTAGTTTACTGTACCAACTGTTAAAAATTGTGAAAGAGCCAATTTTAGTGCTTTAAAGTGTTAACAAGAATGTTAAGCAAAACTAATTCATTTTAAAATGAAGTAAATGTTGTTTTCTACTCCCTAATCTAAAATAACCAATTATGCACCAATCAGGTGTGTGCAAAGTGTCACTTTAAAACGTCAGACCAAAAGGTATTCGCTAACCAGAAGGAAGTCGACAGAGGTTGCTACCGGTCGTTTGAATGGGGTTTTCTTAAATAACTGACGATGGTCTAATGGATGTTTAGTAATTGTCCACTAACAGAATGCTTTTTTCCAGAACTCTCGATAGGAGACGGCAAGAATTCCATGAAGGCGTCCTTCTGGACGCTCTCCTACAACTCTACCCACGGGTGGGGAGCGTGGAACCCCCAAACCAAAGACGTCAAATTCCAAGCATCGCTCAAAATATCCAATGCATGAGCCAGATCCCGGGTCCATACGATACTATGCCCATCATGAGCAGTATGGCAACCTTCAGGCCGGTTCCAAAACCGTATTCCCAAGATTCAGCTTTAGGTTCAGACTCTGGATACAGTAATCACACGAGCGGCACCAGCAGATGTTCCAATCGCGGTCGAAGGGAACTTAGACGAATGTCGCAAATTAGTGCTGATTTGACATTGACGTAAGACGTGATGTTCGAGTGAGGTGATCTGATGTATGAGTGCAATAACTTGATTAATTTCGACGCGACCGTTAGTTTTCTACATATAAAGAAAACTGTTTTAGAGTACCGTGGAATTCTTACAGCGTCGTAGCAATTTCACTACCTTCGTATGAGACTGTTGGTTTATTATTTCTATCGTAGCGATTTCCGACACTAATGGCTTAATTTTGTAACTGAAAACTAATTTTTTATAATGTTATGTTAGGACTTGATATTATTTTCTAACATAACTTTTCCGACAGTTCCATATATATTGCAGACCCTACAATTGTTAGGCTCACTGATATGTAAAGTTGGTGGAATGATTACCAAATTGTAGATATTTTCAAGAGTCAACTTAAGCGAACAGAGATAGTGTGCAAGTACGAGGGTTACTTGAACTTCGACCTAACAATAATACAAGACATTCTTTCTTTTTTTTTTTCGACATAGTCTCCTTGTAACTCTATACACTTCTGCCAATGATTCATTTGACGAAAACCTTTATCTTTCGAGCGCAGTTTTCAGATGAGGGAACACCACACAGTCGCTTGGGGCTAGATCTGGCGCGTTTGTCTTAGTGAAACAGGATTTTTTTTGCAAATGTGACCGTTTTTGCTTTTTGAAAGTAATCGATTAAGATGACTCCATGGCCATCCCAAAAATCAGTCGCCATCACTTTCCTAGATGAAAAAACAGTGTTTGCTTTTTTCGGAGTCGGTTCTTCCACTTTCGCAGTCCACTGTTTTGACTGTATTTTTTATTCGTGCATATAATGGTGTATCCAAGTTTCATCTACAGTAATTAATCGGCCCCAAAACTCGGGTTTATTGCGCCTAAACTACGCTAACAGAGCGTTGGAAACGTTCATTGCTCTAACGTGAGTAAATGCGGTACCTAACGCGCGGACAGCTTTCTCATGCCTAAATCTTTATTTAAAATGTGACAAACACGTTTTTCGTACATTTTTTTAAACACTGCTATTTCGCTTACTTTAATATTATCGTTAGTAGTTATAGGTGTTGGAAGTCTTGAACGTTCACGATCTCCTAAACTCTTAGGGCCACGTTTAAATTCAGCTGCCCAAAATTTGATGTGGTAAATGACAGTGCGGAGTCCCCATACACAGAATCCAACTCAAGTTTAATTTGCGTAGGAGTATTGCCTTTCAAAGGCAAATATTTCATAACAGCTCTATACTCGATTATTTTTATTTCCACGAAAACACTCACATCTACTAGGCCCTTATTCTTGACCGCGATAGAATAGAGAACCCAAGAGAATCCAGACGTGTTCCTATTGGGGGTGCGCACTTCCTATTCTTGAATCCAATTCTATTGAAAACGAGCAGAATTTCATTTCCCGTACGTTCTTTGAGCGTATTTTAGGGGAAGGAGCCAACAGAATAATAAATTTCTTCTGAACGTTTTTGCTTTTCAAAAGTAAATTTTCGAAAGGATAATTGCAAATTATCATTATGGGAGGATATTTTTCATAATTTTGATAACTTGAGAACTTCAATAGCAATATTTAATATCAGAAATATTTTTCACACCAGCAATAGCAACTGGTGATATTATATCAATTTGTTTTTTCCATTATTTCCGTTATTTTCCATTGTGTGAAATGTTTTCGTTTTTTATCTGACTTTTAATGGACATTCTAAAATACTGTACAAAATATTGGTCAACTACACGCAATTGCCTCCTCTTTTTTCTGTAATTGGAAAAGTTTATAATAAAAGTTTTATAATAAGTACACAATAACCAAGTAAACATAAGCAAACTACCCAACATACAGTAACACTTACGTACATATTAAATTTAAACTTTCGAAGAAAAATATGGCACCCACAAACATAGCAATGGCATAAGGCCAAGATACAAACGTTAAAAATTCTACTGACAGAATTTCTAATGCACTGATTGGTCCAGTAGTTATATTTGACAACGGTGCATCGCGTTCGTCCTTTCTTTCCCTTTTGTTCGAAGATAAAGTTTTTGCTTTAGACCACAGAATAGAGAGGTTTACTTAATTTGTCGGTAAATTATTAACGATTTTCCGAAATTTTATAAAATATTAAAATTTGAATTTTAATTTGATTGTGCTCGTAACTGCACCCAAATACCTGATTTTGGTATCGATACAACCTGAAAAACGAAGGCACTGCTTTGATTGTGGTTTATGATTATGATTTGTGAATATACTATCAGTCATTATAAAAACATATTTTTTCGATTTTGCTTAAATTGTTTTAAATTTCACCTCGGAAATTTTTAATTTTCAATCGCCTCTGAAAACTTAATAAACACGTAAAGGCTGTCGGTTGGGAAAACAAATTACCAAACTCAGACAGACGAAGAAGAAATAAAATTAATTGACGCTTCCATCATGTCTCATCGTCTCTGGCAATCATTCATACCCGTGCGGGGGGCAATTAGTTTGGACCCTTGACAAAATCGTACCTTCATTAATTTTTACTAATTAGAACAACGTCCGCGAGTACGTATTTAATTAAATAATGCCAAAATATAATGAATATTCCCGCGACTCAGTTTTAATGAAGTCCTCCTCTGAAGTATATTTGTCTTTTAATAAATTTCGGCCTTAACGAGTTTGGATACGGAGTTTTGCGACTCGTTGGCGCAGTCTTGTAAAACAAATGAAATAATCTCGTAACTAGTTTTTAAGTAGACTTCTCGGGCGCCATTTTGCCAGTGATGCGTCGCCGTTGGTTCGGCAAGTTGGCAGATCATAGGTGTATAATTATTTGAGGAGAAAACATTTTATGACTATATTTTGAGTAAGATTACTTTTTTTTTTAAATACTGATCATAATTGGGCAATATGAGACAATAAAAAATTTCAGTTTTGAGATATATGAATTGAATTCATCAATATTATTATTGTTATTATTAAATTAAAATTAATTTAATCAATTAATTAATTTAAATTAAAAATTAAATATAAAGTATCATATTCATATATCATTGATACCGTTACTTGTAAGTTTCGCTTTTATTTTCTAACTCTAAATACATTCTTTATTAAAGAAAACATTAAAGGCACAAATTTGATAAAATATAAATAGGTTGACAGTGATACTTATATTTAGGCATTTTCGGTACACTCTTGGGGTCATCAGATTTTTTATTAACATTTTTTTGTTTCTTTTCGATTTGTTCCTCTTTCACTGAAGGGGCTGTTAGATTAGATGAATGAAATTCCTGCGTCAATGAAATTTTAGCTTTGGTTTCACATTAGTTTAAAACTTGTTTAGCATGTGTGGAGTGTGCGTTACTAGTCTTTACTGTTTACACGAGTTGTAATCTGGTTTCAAATCACTAGTCTGTTGTTTCTTCAGTTTCTTCAGTTTGGTAACTGTCATGTCAGTTTGCAGATTATCTTCCAGTAAATGCGCGTAATACAACTTGTGCCTTTGATGTTTTTATAAATTTTTCCTTAGCAAAAGCGAAAAATTAATGCACAGTTTTCAAGAACATCATAAATAGATTGTTCAGATGAATATGAACATCCGAAAGTGACGACTCTGATTTGGAAATTCTTTTAGAGCAAAGATTAGTCTATTCAACCCATTCTACATTTACGTCTAAAACTTTCGAATTTGTCCCAAACTCTTGCTCACAAAAACGGTTTGAAAATTGTAAGAAATAAGTACCAACCCAAAACTGTTGGTTTATAAATCAAAGCGTAAATCTTTTACGTTATGCCGCAGCTTAACTTTCAAAATAATTGGCAAACTAACCAATAATTAATTTACTGTTGTGTACGGTTTGGCCAAACTTATGTCTTTTTTTTTACATTTGCTTTTTAGGTAATTTGCCGGTTCTGAGATATTTACTGTTAACCTGATACCTTAACCTTTCCCATTCTTACTGTTGCCTTAGTTTCATGGTAGACCCTGTTCAGAACATTCAACGTTTCTTTGAAGGTGACACTAATAGGATATCGAACTGGCACTTGATAAGAGTCAATGACATAACTCACCGAAACATTGTGTAAATTTTCTGACTGGCTGACTTTTGTCACCAATGCCTCCGACCAGAAAATATGAAAATAAGTTTTTTTGGTTTCACATAAAATAAAACTTCAATCCAACAAAAGAATGTGAAAAATTAAGCCAATAGTGCGTGTTTCCTGACACAACATTCCACAACCTGTAAAAATTGTAAATATCTATCGTATTGTACAAACATCACTAGTACCTCTTCGAAATTAGCTGTAAATACATTTAGTGTTATTTATTTTCACTGTAAATGCAAAAACAATGCACAGACGTCCTCAATAAGACTTATTGGATTTTGTTTTACACTCATCACTGATATACCTATATTATACTACGAAACACTATTATATGACGCAGCTCATATCCCAATTTGTCGAAATATTATATGAATAAAAAGTCTTTTTGCTATATGTAGCTGCATCCTTCATTTTTTCAACGACTGACTAGTTATAGACTATATCGAGAACCGATACTTCATTAAATTGTATTGTATAAAGGTAACGTCAGTTGGAAAGAGCCACTGCAATTGATTTTTTATAAATTCTCGTAGATTTTCGAAACCTTTTGATCTATGTGACGCCACGACAATATGTATACAGAGATATTTGTAATATCAGTTTATACTTTGGCGTCAGTTGGTGTCTCTACTGTAACATTACGTAATTGACAAAGAAGCCTCCTATTGCGCTCATTGTTTATTAAATTTATCACTGAGAAATTTCGCATAAATTCTCTTCTAAACTTCCACGTCGACAGGCGGGCAAATAATACCAATCTACATCACAAAATCATTTAAATCGGTTTCATTTGTTTTTTTGCAGTTTTTAAAATTAAATTCACTTTGCTATCCCTTCAATTTTGTTTTGTTTGATAGCCCACATTTCATTGCAAAAATAAAGCATCAAATGATCATGGGCCAATATCTAAACAAATCGAAAACAGTAATACAGAAAATAACATCACGTTTTGGTTAGTTTGGTTGGTTATGCGAATCATACAACAAACTTTTCGAAAATTTGTTAGTAGTAGTAGTAGTAGTAGTAGTAGAAACTGATAAAAATGACAAGAATGTAAGAAAAAATATTCTTTATAGATGGTGCCTTTGTCATTAAAATTAAACTGATTTTTATTTAAAGAAAAAATGTTTAGAAACTAAACTGACCCAAATTGATAAAACTTGTAATTGTAATCAATTTTTTTAATATTATATTTATTTTACATGTTACGAAGTATACGAAGGATGCATTTTCATTGTCCGAAACTGTAACAAATTACAATTATTACCTATCGAAGTAAACACTATGATCAACAATTTAAATAAAACCCGTAAAATTCGCCAATATCCACACAGTAAATTAAAATGTTAACAATTCATAGACCTGTAAAAAAATCTTGCGACACAATCGTTTATAAATATAATATTGCCAATTTTGTATTATTAATATTTATTTTGTTCATATTGTACAGCTTTTGCGTTGCTAGTCCAGATAGATATAAATGCGTTTATTTTCTGTTTTAAATGTTTTATTATGTTGCACATTACTACGTCCGGAAAGTGCGTTGTTATTGTTTTCATTTGATTTAAGTTAAAATAAAATTTAATAATGGAGTTATGTGTATTATTATGATTAACATGTTTGAAATTTTGTTTGTTTTCATTGTTTTGTTTATGAAAAATCGAATTAAATTCAACTGCTGGACATATTCAGGGCTTCCTTGGCTTCATTTGCAGATTTTCTTGGCTAATTAATTTTTTGCTGAAATATTAGAACATTAGAACAAATATGGCAGTCGCAAGACATTAAAAAAGCTGAAATCTTATCGTGTAAGTCTACAATAACTAAACCATCAGTTTTATCTACGGCATGGTGGTCTTTGTTGTTTAAGTATATTTATCAGTAAAACGGCGATATTTAACTTGTTTGTATCCTAAATTCTCAGATTAAGTTAAACAACTGGCGAGTCGATATCAATAAGCACTTCGATTTCGTTGTAGCGCTTTGGTTGGCATGTAATTTTTCGGGAAACAATGTCAACAGGTAATTGTGCATGTACGTTCGGAAATTTCTTTTAAAAATTTTCTTTTTTTTAGAGTTAATAGTGCCGGTGTTACTAATCCTAACGCTGTTCGTTATAAACGGAGTTGTGCTCTTCTTCATACACAAAGCAAAAAAAAAGTACGTATTATTGTTTATTAATATGTAGTTAAAATAATCCCAAAATTTAACATTTTCATTAATTTGCTTTAACGTTTTATGTGAAAGTTTTATGCTTATTCAGATATCCAAAACCTGGTACAAATCATCAATCATAAAAATCATAAAGCAATTACTTTAACTTTCTGCTTTTCCTTTTCTATAAAATTAAAATTAAAACGTATATTTGAGAATCAAATATTCAAGAAAGAAAGAGTTAAAAGTAAATAAAAATAACCAAAAATAACATTAATTCAAATCACGCAAGAAACTTTTCATTCCCTCGTTTGTTTCTGTAAGCTTTTCGAATACCTCTGCCATATATTTTGGCCCTTGCAGTGTTGTCTCTTCTTCTTGATCGTGGCATAATTCAAAAATAAAATTGAGTTTAGCTAGATCTCAACTATAGCTAACCATCTCTTACGGTTTTCAAGCGAAAAATAATTTGCGCTGTTTTTGAAAAGTATTAATATGTCGGCGCGTACTTTAAAATATCAGAAAAGTAATTTTTTTTCAGAATATTCTCGGAATGTTATAAACCGTATTTGTAAACAAAATCTGACGTCTGAAAAATATTGATTTTCAAATTAAATTTTATAAATAAATGTTAAGCTTTATAAAAATATAAATTAATGTTCATGATTTTTACATAATATATAAGCTGTTATTAAAATGACCTGATACAATTTAATAGGTGGATCTGACCTTGGACAAACAAATGGCCACAATACGGCTGCAGTCCAGTATTCATTCATTCATTGGCACAAGGATTTATAGATACTGAGTGGCCAATAGTGTAGTAAAGTACTATATCTCCCTTGTTTATCACAGTTTTGAAAAAATGTTTTAACAGATGTTACCTAAAATCAAAAGGTCAACCTAATAAAAATATTTTCAATATTTCAATATTTGCATATTATGATTTCTGCAAGACATATTTGAATTTTTATGCCACTTAAAAATATTTTTTAAAGAAACGTTATTTTAAGGAAACTATTTTTTTTTTCAAATTCATTTCATTTCATTTATTAGCATGGTACAAACATAGAAAATGTATAACATCATGGCAATGATTTATAACATGGAATAACAATTTTACAATTTAATATACACATAAAACATAAAGTACAATACATAAAACATAAAGCGCTCTGTGGGAGTCTGGACATACATTAAAGCTGAACGAAGACTATAACAGAAACTTCACCGAAAGCGGGGAGTCGAGGATCGATATCATTGATATCTTATTGAACCTATTTATTCGGAGTTATTTTGTCTCGTGATTAAGTTAATTAAAAAAACGGACGCAGTTGTAATTTCAACCTAGTCTACTAGCATTAAGATGGAAGAAATCAGGTCTGAGGTTTTCCCCATTCCGTGTTTTGAGGGGCTGAACTTTATTCAATGTAAAAAATCGGTTTGCTTCTCATAAGCGTAAACTATACACGTAAGTACATAAGCGCTTGGCAGTGTAGGAATTTTAAGATCCGAAAATTTAGATCTAACATCCTCTCTGTATTTGAAATTGTGATTATTCTAATTACCCTACGTTGTAGGCCAAAGACTCTTGCTGCACCGGAGGCTGACCATAAAGCAAATGGGAGCGAATTAGAGCTTAATATGCTCTCAATAATATATTACAATCTACAGCGCGCTTTAGGCTACGTATTAGAAAAATGTTTTATGGTGACAACAATTTAGTTTTGGGTCTAAATTAATTTCCAAGAATTTTGCACTTTGTCCATTATTTACTTCGTTAATGTGCCTTTGAGAGAAGATTAAAGAAACTATTTTCCCTTCGTTAAGGGTTGAGCTAAGTTTTGTAAACCAGTTCTTAGCTCTTGTTAATTCAGAATTAGCTTCAGCAAGTGTTTCAGTAAGATAAGTGCGGTCCGCAAACAACCCAACCATTCAGGAAGATCGTTGATATATATGAGAAGGAGGATAGGTCCCATTACTAAGCCCTGCACAACCCTAGTCCTCACTGCTCGAGGTTTTGTTGATACAAACAACCTATTGTTCCCTCTCAACTAGAAATGAACCAACTAGGCTTCGGCTCAAGATGTTAAAATTGTAATATTTTCATTTTTGTAATAGAGTGGAGTGTCAGTCACAGTCAAATCCTTTAGTAATATCGCAGAATATTGCACTCGTGAAGTTGCCTTCCTCTTGTCCTTTGACTATAGCTTTAACCAGCTTGGTGATACACAATAACGCGTTTTACCACAAACTGAAACTCAATTTTACCTACTCGACACGTTTCGCCAACCAAGTTGGCATCTTCAGGAGAAGATTCCAGTGAAGAGTTTGACAGTTTGGTGATAGCAGAGTCGGTTGATCTACCCTCCGTATTTCCTTATTTCTGAATAAAATATAGACTAAAATTCTCAAAATATTTGTTAGTTTGGTTTTTTAATACTAATTCAATGATTTTTTGATATACAAGATATACCATAGAAATAGGTATAAAGTTGTTTGTAGTAACTTCCCCACCTTTATGTATGGGAAAAAATTTTGATAGTTTAAAAATATTTGAGTACACTCATTAGTTGATTAGGGAATTTATCAAATGAGTAAGAGGGTATATTAAAATATTCTTTATTTGCTTTAAGATTTTTATGGATATGTCAAAGTGATCTTGGCTATTTTTGTTTTTTTAATTTATCAAAAACATCCCTTACTTGATTGAAGATCACTTGCGAAAATTTGAACAAACTAAGATCTTTGGTTTGATTTAGAAAATTTTGATCGTTGTTGATTTTAGGTAACCCTTTTTAAATTATCAGCAATACTTGTAAAAAATCTATTTAATATGTTTTATTCAATTTCATTTGTGATTACTTTCTCTTTTTTAGAAATTCGATTTTTTTTATTATATTCCAGTAGGTTTTAGTTATATTTCCTTCGTCTTCAATTATTTTCTTATTGGACTGCATTTTGCTTTCTTTATTTAATTTTTGTAAAAATTGTAGCTTTTAATATTTCTTGTGAGATGTAAATTTTGGTAGTCATCGTCATTCGTCAATCAAAGACTATTTCTTATTAATTAAAGTTTTGAAGTGAACCATTTTTGTTTCTTAATTACATTTGTATTAACTATTAGAAATTCAAATTTTTGATTTAGAGACAATTTTACATCACAAGCGGTCTCTATAGTTTTTTTTTTCTAATGGATCTTCATATAGTAAAAGGCATTACTAAGAGTTTAGTAAAGCGCATAATTAATTATTTCATTTAGGGTATTTTCCAAAGCATTGCCAACTTAACAAAAAACAAAATCTAAACAAATTTTGCTGATTTTTTAAATGGAACACGTTGATATAGCTTTATTTTCATGTTTAGCTATTGTCTACAACTTTTCTTATGGTCTAACTATCTATTTAAGTTCTCCCTTAATATTCGTTTTTATTAATCATTTATGCAAATACGCTAACTTATTGAGATGGCGTTATTCTATGTTTTTTCTGTATCTCAAAAAACCGAGCTTAGACTGTTTTGAAAACGGCATCTTTTGCTTCACGAAAAGACCAACAATAATTGAGATACCCCGCAATAACGACGTACTGTTTCTTTATTTTATAATTAGGGCCCACCATATAAAAACTTTTGATTTTATGGAACACTTAAAATATTTTTTCAAAATTGTAATATATGAGGGAGATATAGTACTTTTGCGCACGTACTGCGCCGTCATATGAAATTCATAAAATTTTCGACTTATAAATTAAATCTAATTTCAGCATCTCAAAGGCACGGCACAAACCATCGAAAAAAAAATACGTCCCGAACATAGGTCGAGGATTTTATGGATCAATGGAAATAACAAACTCGGTCACTTTTCATCGCGAGAATCAGAAAATACATCAACACGACCAAGAAAGTGCGCGATTAACTTAATACGAATATAAATTCAAATTAAGGTAATTGGAGTAGCAGATACCATAGAGATTATCAGATCAGAATTTTAGATAGAGATAATTCTCATTTTTGAAAAATAGAGAGAAGTGTATTTCACCTACATCCCTTAAATTCCAACCCCTGAACTTTCGCATATGTACTTAATAAATAATATTTCTAGACAGAGGTTATAAAGACCATATCCATCTACAACTTCAAGTATCAAGAACGATATTACCATAAATCTATAACAACAATGTGATTGGACAAATTTAACGCATTTCGGAACACGGGCTTTATATTCTTTCGTATATAATATTTTTATACTTTTTATAAAAATTAATGTTTTGATTAAGTTCAAAAATATTCAGTAATTCAAGATCCCTTTTTGCGTGTAAGAATAACTTACGACATTAAAATTGGTTAACATTTTCAGTAAAAACAAATTAAAGAAAATTCCGAAGAAATAAGGAGGGAGTTTTATTTAAAAAGAAAACACCAAACGTCAAGTTATTAAGCTTTAAAAAATCGTATATACTACAAAATATCGCATTATTACATGTTATATTTGATTAATATTTTATTAATTTTATTTATTATTATTACATCCCGCTTTAGAATATCACGATTTTTTTGTTTTGTGTTTTAGGAATGCAGTTGAATTTAAAGACGAAGAGATGGTGGTTTTTTCAACAAAAGAAGCACAACATGTATCTGAAAAAATATAATTTGTTTCATTCGAACTGTTGTTGACAATAAATTAAAGAAAATAAAATAATTTTAATACTTCACACATTTTTTTAAGCAGCGGATCAACTTACTGCTAAAAACATTCTGTTTTCTTTTTCTAAAGCCGAAATAAATTAGCAAACAGGATGTTTTTTAAAACGTGTGTCGACCATTCCACAGACATCCTTGTAGGATATTCATGTTTTTATAGACATATCGGGCTCCGCTTTGCTGACAATTTTCCCTAACCAATGGGAAGTGTGCACACTCTGGCAACATCTCGCATCACCCAGAGTCGATGCTGCGAAGTACAAGTTCCAGGACAAAAATGAACTATGCTTAATGTGCGTTTACGCAAATATTCTGTGAATCCAAACACCCAACTTATGGATGTTTCCATTCTAGGTAGAAGTTTTTTTGTGTTGATTCAGACTGATGATTCATAAGCTTATCAACATATAGTCCTTGCCGGCAAAAACAATATAGATAAAGGGAAAAGACAACGAAAATTATTATAAGCTAGTTTTCCTTGACCATTGGAAGCAAAGAAGAAGAAATGAAGTGTTTGGTTACATCCCAACCTTAACATTCTGTGGTTTACACATTACTCCCACATATTCAACACTTTGCTGTAAATGCAATATATGAGGGAGATTCATTGGAAGCTGTGTTTTAAAAAAAGATAAAAATGTTTAAACGGATAAACAGAAAGGGATATCCGAAACCTATTTATATCGGATCTGCAATAGTGGGTACAATAGGACTGGCTTGTTTGTCAAAGTAATATCTACAACATTGTTATAGTTCTTGGGACAAAATTTGTATTTTAGGGAGCTTGTAGGTGGTGAAACTTATAAAGGGAAGAAAGAGCAAAATGGAAAAATTGTAATAGTTACTGGAGCTAATACAGGCATAGGTAAAGAAGTAACAGCTGAATTGGCCAGACGAGGGGCAAAAGTTTACATGGCGTGTAGAGATATGAATCGCTGTGAGGCTGTAACTATTTATCCAGATTTTTAATTGTTTATAGTAATTTAAATTACAAATTAATAACACCAACGACTGTGAAATAGTGCCATTAAATTTTTTAGACACGCAAGGATATAGTATTGGACACAGGAAACAAGTATGTTTATTGTCGACCATGTGACCTTGCTTCCCTTAAGTCAATTAGTAATTTTGCAACAATTTTCAAGAAGGAAGAAAAACACTTGGATGTTTTAATAAATAACGCAGGGGTAATGAGAACCCCTCCAGGTTCGAAAACAGCTGATGGATTTGAATCACAAATTGGTGTCAATCATTTAGGACACTTTTTGTTAACAAATTTGCTCTTAGATGTTTTAAAAGTAATTGAAATTTTAGCAAATGTATAAAATAGCAAATGCATCGGTTTCTTGTAGGATTCAGCTCCCAGTAGGATAATAAATGTTTCCAGTGTTGCACACCAGAGAGGTAGAATAAAAAAGGATGATTTTAACAGTGATAAAAGTTATGATCCAGCAGAAGCATATGCTCAAAGCAAATTGGCAAACATATTGTTCACTAGAGAATTAGCAAACAGATTGCAAGGTATAATAATATCATACTTCAAAAATGTGTGTTTATCTGTTTTACCTTTGTTTTAGGTACTGGGGTTACAGTAAATGCTGTTCATCCTGGTATTGTGGATACAGACATAACTCGCCATATGAGTTTCTATAAAAGTCGTATATCTTCTATACTTATAAAACCATTTTTGTGGCCCTTTATAAAAGATTCGCGACAAGGGGCACAAACTGTACTTTATCTAGCATTAGATCCAGAGGTTGAAAAAGTTAGCGGAAAATATTTTTGGTAAATTTAAATTAAATTAAGGGACCGAATATTTACATTACTTGTTAACTTACTTTTTTGTAGTGATTACAAAGAAGAAGAAATCAGTAAAGAGGCTCAGGATGAAGAGATGGCAAAATGGTTATGGAAAGTGAGTGAGAAATGGACAAAACTTACCACAATGTAAATAAACAAAATAAATAATAAATACAGCTTGATTTTAATTACTGAGAGAAATTGTTATGATAAGGTAGTTAACAAAATTGAATAGTCTTAATAATAAAAAAAATGTGTTCTCAAAATGTAGATCCACAGTCACTAGATCACCTTTGCTTTGCTGTTATAATTTGTTGACAAATTTTAGGTTTTAAAAATTTTAGCAGCACAGTGACTTAAAATAAAAAAATCTAGATGCACATATCAAATTATTTTCCTCCATTTTTCTAATATTCGTGAGATAAAAATCATTGGACAACATTTTTTTTTAATGTTTTTGAAATATCTAAATGTAATTTCGGAAAAAAAGAATCTTGGGATCCTTCAAATGACTTCAGAAGGGTTAGAAGAATAATAATATTTATCTACTAAATATATATAGGTGCTACCGATCCAGATACTCTCGCTAGATAACAGTATCAAAAGTACAATTTTATTAATTTTTCAAAAAATTTTTGGAACAAATGTTAAAGTAATTTTTATAATATGATGTTTCTTATCTAAAAAAGGTGTAAATTTTGTAAGAGTTAGTTTTAGCTGCCATTTTTGAGACATCAGGATTGTGGCAATGTAATCTGATTGAGTAAGAAATGAAATTCTGTATAATATGTACAAAATTGATTTTACTAAATACTGTAATCCAAAAGTTTATAATTTAATCGGATTGGTAGGATTCAGAGATAAAAATATTCTTATTTTTGCTATATATTTCATTCACTTAGTATCTTTATATCTGAAAATTTTTAATTTTGCGGTTTTGTAGATGAGAAATTCGGATTTATCGACGATTCCGTTTTTCATATTTTCCAGCAAGACAGTAAAACCATGTTCCAAAACTTTTTTGTCTTCTAAAATTTTTTCCGCCAGCAATTTGTCCGTAAACAGGTACTGCTTTGCTAAATCACTATCACCAAGCGCTTTGGAGAATATAATGTGCTATTTTATCAATATAAGTAATTCTAATGAACACAGGTTCCTATTCCATTTCAAGTCTCGCGCTTCTTACAACCGCTTTTAAGTCAATATTGCACAACGCAACTTTGTTATGTAATATTAAATTAAATATAGATCGAAAGATAAAAGCACTTTTGATAAATATTGCAGTATACAAAAACCAGTATTCGTAAAATAGAAACTGCGCGGTGTAGACAATTTCGATACCCGAGACATTCAGTTTGCCAAATCGTGCCTTTATACTACTCTCAGTATTTGCGTTAGTGGCACCATGAAATTCGCAGGAAAAGTGATTTTAATAACTGGAGCAAGCGCCGGAATAGGAGCGGCAACTGCAATACATTTTTCTCAATTAGGTGCGAGTTTGGCGCTAGCAGGAAGAAACCAAGAAAACTTGAACAAAGTTGCTTCGGCGTGCAATTCAAATTCCACCCCTTTGATTTTGTTAGCAGAATTAACCAACGAAAACGAAACAAAAGAGCTACTCGATAAAACTCTTGCACACTTTGGTCGGCTTGATGTTTTGATCAATAATGCTGCTGTCGATGTATTGGTGTCTATTGAAACAACAACTTTGGAAGATTTTGATCGCGCAATGGATGTAAATGTGCGTTCGGTGTATCATTTAACCAAACTAGCAGTGCCTCATTTGATTAAAACGAAAGGAAATATCGTCAATATTAGCAGCATAACTGGTTTACGCGCTTTTGCCGGAGCTTTACCGTATTGTATGTCAAAAGCTGCTCTAGATCATTTCACAAGGTACATAATAAGTTTTCTGAAAACCCTGTGAGTCATTAGCAAACCCCTGCTAAACCATTGCGAATTTTATTTAAAATTTGTATTTATTTAGATGCACAGCACTTCATCTTGCCTCCAAGCAAGTCAGAGTAAATGGAGTTAATCCAGGAGTAATTGTCACCAATTTTCAAATAAATGGAGGTATGACCAAGGAAGATTATAAAACCTTCATTAAATATGCCGAGAAAACACACCCACTCGGTAGGCCAGGTCAACCTGAAGAAGTGGCCAAAGTAATTGCGTTTTTAGCTAGTGATGATGCTAGTTTTATAACGGGAGCCAGTGTGCCCGTAGATGGCGGTAAACATGCTCTGTGTCCTTAAATGCGGAATCAGCAGCATTATGTAAATAAAGTTCTTGTTAAGAATCATATTTTTAAAATACAAAAATGTTTGTCTATACCAAGCAAGATTCATTAATATTAACTTTAAATTAACATATTTCCTTCCTTTACCCTTTCACGGATCAAGACGAATATTCTTAAGAAAACTGCTCCACCACTTCAAAATAAATAGGATCTAACAATTACACCGCTCTAACCATATAGTATAGCTATTAGATAACATAGTGGCCTTAGTACACTAACACTTGAAACACCTTGGGAGGATATATTTTCGTAGAGATGGGAATGATCTGCGCATTCCTGTAAATTTTACTCAGTAACCTGCAGTTTGCACCATTTTTTTATATAAACTGCTATGTCCACATACTTAAGTCATTTTTCAAGAGTATAAAACGGGCATGTTTTATACTGCCTCAAAATTGATACATCTAAGGTAAACCCTGTCGAATTGATGAAATGTCAGTGGCAATTTTGGTTGTTGGTTGGTTGTTTGTTTGGTTTCAAATAACCGCGCAAGCATATATTAAATGGCCCTCCTCATTTTTTTCCATAGTCGCTTCAAAAATAATAAAACTGCAGGTACAGAGTAAAGTGCGAGCCAGTTTTAGTCAATCTCTGATGAAGCCAAGAAGATGATTGGCGAAACGTCAGCAAGTTCGACTCAGCAAAAACCGACGCAGGAGGAATCCAGAAGCTTTGTAAAATGTATTACAGTAGCCTGTGGAAGTTTCTTTGAAAAAAAAAGAAACAGTTTTAGTCTCTATTCTCATAAACATATATGTTTCTTTGTTTTTGCATGAGCGAAGTGACCATTATTTTTTGGGTACATTTTGCCTGCCTGTAAAATTTAACTTAATTTGTCTAGCCTACAAATTCCACACAAGAAGAAAAAAACCGAAGGGGTATTAGCCGGATTACGTTATAACATATTGCATTGCGTGTAAAGCCAGCCTTACAGAAGAAGAAGAAGAGCAAGAAGCCTCAACTAAGCACAGAAAAAACACACTAACATACTAACCTAAGCATGTTAACAATAACAAATTTAAAGTAGCTCATATATAATAATTTAAAATTTAAACATAATAAAGCGATGAGTAATCACTTAAATCAAAGTTTTAAAGATCGGCGACCCGTCGTTACATGTAAGTTATGTAGGTCAACTTGGGATTATAGGATTTTACGCTCATGTGTTAGGTGCAGGAGAATTGGAAGTATTCTCTTTAATTGAGGATAACTTATCAGAAGCTCTTCCCAAGGACACATGCGAATGGAAACGATCTTTAGGGCGTCCCGTTAAAGTAGTTCGCATTGGTGCTAACTTTACTCCATTCAGTAAGTCAGCATTGCCTAGGTCTGGGCAGTGGGATTTGATCAGACAACCCCTTTTTCATATTTATTGGACGGAATGCACGGTGACTACTTGAAAAATTTTATTGATTAAGATCTAGTCATTTCTAAATAATTTTGTTACAAAGGTTTGTGATTTTTAGGATACAGATGCGTATAAAATTAATGTTAAGGAAGATATTGAGAATTGGCTAAAAGAGTTAACGTCTAGAGAAATTCAGGATTGGTTAGTTGTGGTGGTTGAAAATTATGATGGAAAGAGAGCTAAGCAACTTATCCCAAGAACAACAGTGCTTGATAAAATTAGAGCTGAATTTGCACCAAAACAAGGTAAAACTTGCTTAGTATAAGAATTTTAATGGATCGAAAATGGTGCTGGTGTTTTTAAATTGCAGGTGATCGATGTATTTCAGTCATTAATCCAGGTAAAATAGAAAACAAATCTACAGACTCATGGCGAGGGTTAGTGGGTCGAATTAGACATTTGTTGTTGGTTGCTTATGCTCGAGCAGTAACACAATTGGAGGAGTATATTAGACAACAGAGAGAAAGGAGAAATGAGCCTGGTTGGAGTTTTATGAAGTATTTTAAGTTACAAGTAGTTATTGGCAAAATTGCAATGAAATAAGGAAAGTTAGTTAAATGAAATTTTTAGGAGGAACTCGCTCAAATCTTGGAAATGCTGGGACTAAATGATGAAGCACTAGTGCAATATGATGAGTTGGATGCATTTTTTTCACAGATTGTTAGCAGTAGTTTGAGAAGTGATAGCATAAAATGGCTGAGTGACTTTCAAAAACCATTAGAAAGGTGGTATGGTTTAAAATTGGGGCCAGCCATATTGCCAGAAAGCCCATCCATTCTTGAACTCAGAGCCTATATATTTGCAAAACAGGCGCATATGTTGCTGCTTTCTAATAAAATTTGGGAGGTAAATGATTCAGTTGTATGAAATACTTATATTCTTAGGTAATCATTTAAAATGCAGATAGCTGCAAGGTGTTTACCATTTTTACACACTTGTACCAGAGAGTTGAACCTTTTAGAAGTTTGGGCACCAGCTGGTGCTGTTTGGTGCTGGTTGTTTTTAGCTAGTATGGAAGTGTTACACTACTGTGATAAATTTAATCAAGCTGACCAAGTTGAGGAATATTCTTTGCAAACTGCCCCTTTGTGGGAATTTGCCAGTCAAAAGGTAATTAAAATGTGAATTTAGTTCATTTTTGGATAAAGATGTCCCATTGGTAAAAATATTTTAATTCATTTAACTGCTGGAACTTTTAGCCATCTTATGATAACTTTGTGTCATATGGCAATTTAGTAAATGGGTATCAAACCTTAACTTCATTTTTTTTTATACCTTTAATATTTTAAAATGTTTTTCATTTCCGCAATTTTATTTTTAATTCAGTATTTCAGTTCGGTTCATTCCTGTTCACGGCTGCTCTAAAGGATATTGCGATTGTATTACTACTGTCACTATTTACTCTTTTCGTTACTTAATCCTTGTTTTCTATTTTTAAATCCATATTTTTTGTTTGTCAATTTTTATTGCAATAAATTCTTTTTAGTTACGTAGTCTGGGTGAATTATGTGGTCTTATGCCAAAAAACACACCTACATCTGAGCAGCTTCATATTGTTGTTGGTCTATCTGCTGGCATGGGTGACAATCCTGGGCCACCAAATGACCCATCACCCACTGATAAACTAAAAGAGGTTCTTTGTTCACAAGAACTTTTTAATAAGTTATATTTGGTAATTTACCAATCATTACTGCTATGTACTGTCATTTAGAATCTAATCCATGCTATAGGAACTGGCAGAGTTAGCAATGGGCACATTCAAACACGTGGGTCGTCTTAGAATGGCCCGGTTGGTGGGAAAGGATGTAGCTTCCTTTTATTTATTGCTAGGAGAGACGCAGAAAACGGCGGCTTTTTTAGGAGACGCCTTACGCATGTTTCTCAAAGAAGGGTGGCATGAACTAGCAGCCCAAACTCAGTTAGAGGTGGCCGAATGTTTTCGAGAAATTGGTGACATGAGGAAATTGGTTAAAGCCTGCACTTATGTTTCTGCTGCATTAGAAGTTGATACTTTAATCAGGTAACAAAAGAAACAGTCTTGTTTCTATGACATTTAGTATTCAGTTCATATGTCATACTAGGGAACACAAAAGATATTCAGTTTTAACATTAATTTTATACACAAATTAAGTACAAAATAAAATGTATTTTTTTTTAATAAGGAAAAGAGATTAACAATGGGAAATTTGGAAAAAAGTTACTCAGAATTTTGCGCAAAACCAGAAAATGTGCTAAGATACATTTGAAATGTCGATGTTGTAATCTGTTTCGAAGTGCTACCCTGCAGGGGCGTAAATATTTCACTACGGCCATAATGCAATATGCAAACATTGCAAATACAATAATAATAATAACATAATAATGCAAATTAAAAAAAAACTATGTAGATGTCTTAGAAGTCCTAATAGGACACTCAACGTGAACCACCCTTTATGTTCTAGCTGCTAGTGTTGATCAGTTTATGCCACAAACAAATATTGAGTTAGAGAATCTATGTTTATAAGGTTATTTTTTCTATGAAATTTAGGAACTCACTAATGACCAACTGCTAAGTAGATTTTTAAAGAACGATAAAGTTGATGGGAAAATTCATGGTAGAGTTCTCTAAACGATATACCATTTTTAAGACAATCCGGTATTTAACTTTGGTAAATTTTTATGAAGGTCTAACAGTAAGTCTACCTTGCTTGGGTTTCTCTTTGTAACCCTCCTTATATAGATTCCCAATTCCACAATGACATTCCAGAACCGTACTTTGGTACTTCGTTCATACAAATGCTGAAAGCTGACAGATCTGTGTAGAATTTCCATCGGTGAGATTCCTAGATTATAATTAGTCCACGCAGTGGAAAATCCATTCTTGCTTTAAAATGTTTATTATAAATATAAATGAAGGAGTGAATTTAGCTATAAAACTATGTTAGAATATTTATAAAAAAAAAAAGTTATTCCATATCAAAATAACCACTATTGTCGCTGGACTCGTCCCCCACATTAACAATTCCGTAAACATTTTCTTTGACGACATGTTCTACATTTTTTTTCGAACTAGAAGGAGATATTTTTTGCATTTCGATTTGTTGTTTCTTCTTAAACTGAGTTTCAGCTCTCCCCATATCAGTTCAATCAAATTAAAATTGCAGTGATATGGTGGAAGACGAACAACTTTGTTTTAATTGTTAAAACAATATTCTTCTGATACGCATCATATATCAACCGTCTCACTATTCCGGCATGGTGCATGTCAAGTAGACTTTTTGGAACCCCAAGATCTTTCCCCGTTTTTCTTAAGAGTTTGTATTGCTTTCCTAGGAAAATATTCATAGTCATTATGTTAAACTCTTATATCGGAAATCAGTTTAAGCTTTCTAGAGTGTTTTTAATATACAAGATCAACCTATATCTATAGGTTGATCAAGTTCAACTTGAAATCAAGCTACTTCAAGTAGGGACTGTTTTAGGAAGATCTATAAAAAGCACACTAATATGAATTAATATAACAATTTAATCAAAGAAAATTTCCCTACTCTTAAAATACAACAATCCGCACGGCACAGTTCTTGTGGGTTAACATCTTAAATACGGCCCTGCCTTGTGGTACACGTGCTGAAAAAAATGATACCTTCCGCTTTATAACAGGCGAGTCGTAAACTCATCACGAAGTCAAAACCATAAAAGATTGTAAAAACAGTATATCGTTAGGTGAACTTTAATCTCACAAATTTTATGAGTTAGCGGCTCAGTTTAATTAGAGGAGAATTGCCACGAAAATTAAATAAATTTGACTATTTCTAAGTATTTCCATAAATCGATTTATAGAGTATTTCACAGTATATTGAATTGTTCTGAAATGTTACCGCTTCTTCGAAAAAAAAGCATCAACATTAAAATTTTAAAAGGGACAGCATGTATATTAGCATTTTCAGATCTGCTAGTATACATTCTATCTTCAGCGGATTTCAATTAAATTTTTATTACTTCGACACTGGAGTCTTAATATATTGGTCAAAGCTAATGAAATGGTGAAAAGTGCATTGTTTTAATTGGAACACTCTGTATATTATAAAATATTCTAAGAGCAAATTAAATTCCCTTTCGAATGATGTATCATGTCCCTATACCTATATCGTTTAGTTTCTCGGAAGTTTCTCTGAAAACTGGTTTGGCATAATTCGTTTTTTAGGTGGCCATGAAATAACGGTCTTATGTTAAATAATTTATTTTCCGTTTGACAGTTCAATAAAGATGTACTCATTATTGGTTGTGGTGCAAATTTTGTTGATAAAATCGTTTCAAAATGGAAGTAAACCAGTATTCTAATGCTGTTTTAATGAATTTGCATATTATGCAAGGATAATGCAACTACAAACTAATTCTTTTTACAACACGCGAACTAGAGAACATTTGCCAGAATGAAGAAAAGCTTTATAAACCATTTTATCAAAAACATTTTAAATACTATTTATAGTAACAAAATATTAGGTATTTGAAATAAAAATTGTACACAGAAAAATGAATCCAATATTTCATTCATTCATTCCTTCCATTTAAAATACCCGATTCTCAAAATTTTGTTTCGTCGGTTACATACACCAAACGATTTAGGGATATCTCTCGAAAGGAGAGAAAGGAGAAGATGTAATAATATTCAGGGTGTTCCATTTTACAAAATGCACTTTTCACCACTTTTTGTATCCGGTAAACAAATCATAAATTTTGACCAAACCCTAGTGTAGAACTAATTTCAATATTAAGACTCCAGTGTCGAAGTAATAAAAATTTCATTGAAGCTGTGTTCCGTTCGCCCCAAAAATTCTAAAAGTGCGTATACAATTGTAATCATGTGTATGTCATGCGACGAGGACTGCGCAATTTTAATGATGAGAAATGCAGAGAGAAATGTTAATGGCTAGTTTAGCAAAAAAAAAAAGGAGAAAACGACACTGAGGTGATGTTAGGTTTGAAGTCTGATTGATAGCCATCGATGAACTTATTAAAATTATTTTCTGGCCAATCCACTACCACGCAATCTTCAAAAACACAATAAAAGCGCACGGAAAACAACGAACCTCTTTTATCTCCGTCCCAATTGCGCCGCAAACATACAACGGGGAGTGTCGAAAAACCCACAGGAGACGGATCGAGGCGAGCGGTTTGCGCGCAGATGTACAATCACATTGATAAAGTTCTTTAGTCACACGTTTATTAAACACTCGCTCCGCTAGTGGCAAATGAAACTGATAATTAAAGTGGCCTTTATCAAACGTGTATACTACTTTATATACTATTATAAAATACACAAATATTAGTTTCTCAATAAAAAAAATGTATTTACGAAAAACATAAGCACATAACACACACATAACTTATGCGCCATAGAGCAACATGTAATAACATAAATTAAAATAAAGAGATTTATCGAACAAATGTCGCGCAAAATATTACGTTTTTTGCGCTCCTCTCTAGTGTAAAATCAAATCAATTACACGCTAAAAAAGAATGAAATTTAAATTAAAAAAAAAGAGTTATTAGTTTAGTTCAGTTATTTAATTAGTTGTGAAAACGCTCTCTAAGAATTAGGTTCAAACAAATAACGAATTGTGTAGTTATGTATCTTTGTATCTAGATTAAAATTTTACACCTAATTTATTAATGAAATACTGTTGCTCTATGACCGATAAGTTATCGCTTCTGTACAAGTTTGATGTGATGCATTTGGAATGACATTAACAATTGCAGGTGGACTTATTTTGATGAAATGATGAAGAACCTTTCAAATTTGGACAGTGAGCTGGAAATTCCTTTTGATAATGTTGTAAAATTATTAAGTGTCAAGGTTTTAAATGACTCTTCCCTGCTGCAAAGCAATAGAATTGAAGTGGAATTAATAATTGAATCAAATTTCCCCAAAGAAGTACTCTGTACATATGTAGCTGTGTCGTTGGAGAAGCACGTTAAGCAAAAAGAAAATGAGAGAATTTGCTTAGGAAAAGCATTGTCTGATAAGGTAACTTACCATTATTCCGTTGACTAAACTATAATTTTCGTGAATTTTAGGAATTTAAAAGCCAGGATCCTCTTCTGCAAAAACTTAAAATTAAAAATAACTTAGATTATAAACAGGATAAACAATTAGCGATGTCCGGAATTACTTCTAAATTGACTGAGCTAAGGAGAAAGGATAGCACTTTGCCGCATATCAAGCCAGATTTTAATATGTCTTTAGAAGTGGACAAACTGGTGAGATTATTTTTTTAAAATCTTTTTAGATTTAATTGGGATGGATATGTTTGTCATTTTATTTTGGTTTTCTTTAACATTGGTATTCTTTTGGGAATTTAATAAGTTGAGTTTTTAAAAATTCCTTCCAGAAAAAATTTGGTTTGATAGGAATTATTTGAATAACTGATTTAGATACTGAATCACTTGAAAGCGTATAAGTCTGAACTGGTCTATTTCTTACACAAATATTTATTTTATTTTTCAATTATTATGTTGTTTTAACAATTCAACAAAATAAAATTGTTTAAACTTAACAAAATTACAATCTATAGTATATGTGAAAACACATTAATAGCGCTTAAATTTACCTTAAACTCGCCAAATATAAAAAAGGTTATTCTTTGAAATAAGCAGTTTAACATCCAACAACGACAACATTTTAAGTTTATAATTTATAATTCTTAAATCGCCTTCTTTATCCAGCCCTTTTTTTATATTTAAGATAATCGGGGCTCCAAATTAAGCTGACATAATCTATATAGCCAATTGACTTTAAATATTTATTATAACAAGTTTGAAGTTCATTCTTCTGAGAATGTATTATTTATTGAGTAATTAAATGTTATTGTATGTTGGCCACTAAAAAAACTTCATGTATGTAATTTTTGACTATCAGGAGTAATTAAGCAAAAAGCATAAAATTGACCTAATTGTTTAAATTCTCCATCAATGAACACTAGTGTTGTTTTTTCATATTAAATGTCCTTGTCGTTGTGGTTGCTTGTGTGCTTGTCGAGGTAAAGCCCTCCGCATGCTGTAAATACAGCCACATCAGAATGACCACAACATTCATAATATCCTCTTCTCACATTCATTTATAATAACTGTAAACATATACGCTATGCTATGCTATAAAATCTAAGATCACACGATTTAAATTTGACTGTGATTTTTTAACATACAGCTGAGAAGTTACTTTTGCCAGCCGTTGAAGAGGTTTTACACAAAACTGCATTTAATATCATTAAAAGAATTCCCTTAAGCAACAATACTGATGAAATGAGTTCTGATATTGAAAGCTTCTGGTGTAGTTATTTACAAACCTCCCGTTTCTCTATACAGCTGGACGACTCGACTGTACCCGATAATGAAGCATTATATTCGCATATGTTCATTTTATTATGAATCAAGAAATCTACAAGGAACTGCTGTTCGCCATAACTTTAAAAACCGACAGTAAAGGTGAATCAATATTTAATGTTTTGAAGAATTACTTCGTTGAAAAACCAATTTCTTTATCACAATATCAGTACCTACAGATGGAGCACATGCCATGCTTGGACGTTATCGCGGATTTATGAGCTATTTAAAACAACATGTGTCAAAACTCTTAGCAATACATTGCGTCATCCATCGACAACATTTAGTATATAAATTTGAGTGTTAGATTGCATGAATCTCATCAATTAGTCATTGATGCAGTAAACTGAGTCCGAAGTAACGCGTTTATTTGCGCAGTTGTGTGAAGAAAATGACGAAGACTTTCATCAATTGCTCCTTCACATGAAGTACGCTGGTTCTCGAAAGGCTTATGTTTGACATGATTTTTTGCACTTTTTGAGACTATTTTAGAATTTCTGGATACTAAAGATAAAAATTTAAAAGTCAATTTAACGAAACGGAAAACAGACATCGCTTATTTTCATTCATCAGAATCAACATTAATTTGTTAGTTTTTCTGAGGCACTATCCATTAGAAAAATTAACTAGCTTGTTACCTATAAGTTGACGGACTTTTCCAAAATGTTTCATAATTATTAATGAGACTCTTAAGAAACAAACATAATAAAGAATGAAAAATCGATAAAGACGTATAGTTTGAGCTCCAACTTCTGAGACACCTTGTCTCTAGATACTTGGTACTAATTTATGTTACTACTTTAAAATTTAAAAGTAAATTAAACCGCGCTATACAGAATAAAATTCAAAGAATAACAGACTTTTAAAACACTTTTTTAATTTACTTTCTTACCTTAAATTCAGAACAATTCTGCAGTATTTTGGGGGTTTTATAATTGAAGTAAATTGAAATGATTTTGTGTTTCTAGCCGTTGTTGCTTACGCCAGGAATAAACGTAATCAGGGTGAGCAGGGTTTCTAAAGAAGTGGGAAAATTTTTCTTAGGTTCTGTAGCCCTTCACGTGAATCAGTTGGAATTAGTGTCTGCACCTTTATTGCCTAAACTGACCATCGAAGTACAAGAAGAGGGACCATCATTGAAACTTTATAAACGTGCAGCTCCACTACTGGCAGGCATTGAACAAGTCATGAACCTAATATTGACAATTGGAAGCTATTCCATTGATCCTGTAAGTGATTTTTACCAAAATCTGGAATTCATTAACAGATGAAATTAGAATATTTCCTACCGTGTGCATATAACATAATAGCCTAATCAAATTTAATTACTGCTTCAGGCATCTAAAATAAAGCTGATTGCATCCCCAGGCCTAGCATTTCATACAGATCCAGAAAAGTGCTTGGTAAATGTTTTAGAAATGGAAGTGGGAGAAAGACAGATTTTTACGAGTACAAGAATTCCACTTAGGATTTTTGCAGAATTGTCAACAAAAGATCACCAAGGTAAGACAAGTGATAAATTTTCCTGAAAAATTTGTATCTGGAATAAATGGTTATTTGATCCTACACAGACAAAGAATACATGTGTTGATTATTTTAGTTACCATTCACGTTCCTTGGAATGCAAAACCGATAGTTGTGGGACTAACGTTTACCACTCCTATAGGAGTGACTTGGCGACTATTCACTTGTGATCACAGAAAATTTGTCCAAGTAAATGTGGTGGGCCAGTATGAGAAAGAAATAAAATTGGAAACTCCCGAGTTAAAGATAAAAAACATTCCTGTATCTCCGATTTTTTGTGAATCTGATCTGGTAAGAATATTATTTTCTACATTATAAAATGAAATAAAATTCAAGACGAAAGAGAGGCTATTAACAGTAGGAAAAAATGTTTTCTAGCATCACTTTTTTGCAGCTGATTTAAATTAATTAGCACTGAGTGGTAATATCCATTATCCATCCTCATCTTTATTTCTATTCGACATGCATACGCACGTTATTATAAATATTAAATTAAATTCAAGATTATGTTATTTTAAGATCATTACTAATGGATTAAGTACGTCTTTCCTGTGGGAATTGGCGTTATCTTCGGAATCGTGCCCAAATTCATCTAAAGGCGAATTTTTCGTAAAATACAAACTTTCCGACCTAGAAGAAAACATGACATACCAATATTTGTTTGACATTACCGATTATCAGGTGAAAAATTTCACTTTCACGACGATCGTGTTTAATTAATTAATTGGCACTTTCCCACAGACCTTATATGTTCTCGATGCTGACGTCGAACCGGCTAAAGGCAACGAATTTTGTCGCGTCGGTTTAGTCTGTCATTTAAATTTGACTATTTTCTGCGAAATGCCCAATAAAGATCGGAAGGAGGTCAATTCCGTAATGTACGAGGTATTAGCCGAACAAAGCGTCTGGGCAGTTTGTGGAAGAACAGCGGGCGTGGTATGCTTCGATAGCGAAGATGACTCGTCGCAGCAAATAGTACTTGACGTCATGCCACTTACAAGCGGGTATTTACCATTACCGCTGGTGAGAATATCGAAATATATTCCAGCGGAAAATATGATCTCAGGTAGGAATCCATTGCTATGTCAGTTTTATGCATCATACAGATTAACTTCTCCTCATGTGAAATTTTTCCACATACACTTTTATTTCATTAGTAATCAAGTTTAATTTAAAAGATACATGCAAATATATGGAGAAGTTGTCTGGAATCAAATTCAAGTGTTCAGACCTAATTGAAAACGCAGTCTTCAAAGGTTTAGAAAGAGCTTAGTTTAATTAATGGCGATTCTGCTTCCTCTAAATTTTACACACCCACTTGCACTTTCTCGACTGTTATCTTCACACAATTGTCTATCTTTATTATTATTATCTCTATATCTATAGCTACAGCTATAGGATTTGGACAGGTGTTAATGGTTGACAGCAAAAATGAGATTTTTGCCACGTATGCGCATAGTGAATGGCCTGTCACAACGTTTCATCGTCGCTTCAAAAGTTTCTGTTATCAGCATAGGCAGGAACGCATATATCCAGCAGTTATTAAACAAACATTTTTTGTAACTAGTTCCCCATACCTATTTATTGTTGTCAAAGGTTTCCTTGGATACCTTTTTTCACGTTTTCGAATCTTCCTTAAATTATGTCGCACATTAGACGGTGGAAAAGGATTTAACAAAGTATAGCGTTGTACGGTATGAGCAGGCAGGGCGCGTTTAAAGTATCCATGGTGTTATTTTGACTTAAGGGTTTTTTAGAAAGGAATTTGTTTTACATAAAAAAATCACTTGTATTACTTTAGTTTTTCAACTGTTATTACAGGAGGAAAAGTAAATTTATTTTTAACAAAGTTATTATCCTAGATCTAGATGTCTCTCGGCTCGTTTTTGTCGTATTCTTTGTACAAAAAAGGGGAATTTAAAGACAATTTTTTGAATCTTATTCTGGGTATTTTATTCCAGCTATTTGAAATGCAATCTCTTAGGGAGTCGAATTGTTCACCCTCACTTTATAAATGTATTAATGATTCCATAGATTGTACATCCCTAATTCACTTAGTGTTGATGTTTATCTTATTTTATTATTTATCGAGTGTTCTTTGTTGTCAATTATTTTCTTTTTTGTGTAGATATATTAATACACTAACATTTATTGTAATTGTGCATTAGGGTAGTTAATATTTTATCTTACTTTAGCAAATATTTTTTAATAAACAATTTAGCTATATCCATGCAGTGGCGTATCAAATCATATGCCATGTCTAGAATTTGCTACCTTTGTTGATTTAGTTTCCGATTATAGTGCAGAGGTGACGTAAATGTATTTTTTGATTTCATCAAAAATACTTTTTAATAAAGTCGTAATTAATGTATTTTAGAGAAATGTATGAAAGGTGATACACATCCAAGATTGGAACCATTTAGTCCTGGCCAGGTGTACAATAAAAGCAAAGGCAAACAGTTGCATGTTATAGCCGCATCGAACGATGGACAAAATTCGTAATGATTACGCATTATGTGCCAGTAGGTACATCGTGTAAGAGAACAAGGCGCTGATTATTGCATACATTTAAGTGATTTTGCGTTGTTTTGCATTTGAAGTTGCTTTCTACAAAAGAAATTGCATTATATTAATGTAGTATTTATTGAATTTATTTTTGTTATATTGTTAAATAAAATTTATATTGTGCACATTTAACTCTTATAGCTATGTGGGTTTGAAGTAATCGATCCTTGTATTTTTTTAAAAGCGTAATGCCTTCCGGAAAGATTAAATTGCGAAAAATATTGTCAATCGTTTTTTTTGTAAAGAGGAGTTTCCTATTTTACTGAAAAATATACCTCTTATGGAACGAAATATAACGAAATATATATATATATATATATATATATATATATATATATATATATATATATATATATATATATATATATATATATATATATATATATATATATATATATATATATATATATATATATATATATATATATATATATATATATATATATATATATGATGACACTATATTCCGGGATATCATCCGTTCGCTCGTTGAACTCCGACTGGAATCCTGCATCCGACTGGAATCCTGCATCCGACTGGAATCCTGCATCCGACTGGAATCCTGCAGACGTTTCGCCAAAATCTCACTTGGCATCTTCAATGCTCGCGCTCCGAAAACACTTCGAACACTCGATGCAGGATTCCAGTCGGAGTTCAACGAGCGAACGGATGATATCCCGGAATATAGTGTCATCACATTTTTCCATCCGTGAATCAATACGTGAGAATATATATATATATATATATATATATATATATATATATATATATCCCCGGATATATTTCTTAAAATTAAGAATTTTTAGTTTGGAGATTACCAAAGTTTTTGATTGGTAATTTTTCGCGGGCTTCAGTGGTTATGACAAACTATCAACCTCACTATGATCGCACATCCCACCAATGGTCTCCGTCGCCTTGACCATGGTAATTAGTAGACACTATTGCAGCAACTCAAGGAACTGCATTTACTTGGGCAGCTTTTCTTTCTATGGGTCCTATATCCAGAGGCAATTTGGTCAGTGTTTGAAGGACATAAAATAAATCACTCAGTCATCAAATTAACAGCTATACCATTTTCTGAGCACAACAGGTTGAAAACTAACCAAAACTATATAGAAGAGTGCCAACAGTGTGGTGCGTGTAGGTTCGAAATGCTGCTAAATTGGCTACTACAGAGTTGCTTCGATAATAACATAAACAGTGCATCCCAAATTCGTTTTCCCCTATAGGGTTGGGAAGAAGATGTACTCACTCCAAATTTACCTTGTGATTGACATTCACCTAATATGTACCTATTGAAATATATCTTGAAGTTTCATTTGCATTTTTGCTAGCAATACATGCTGTAGCTAAACCCCAATTATCTAATTATTTATTTACAACAGAAATGCAAAAACGGCCCGTCAAGGCCTACTTATTACAGACAAAATATTTATAAATTTTATTTAGATTTAGCACCAAACAATAATGATTGTAGTATACCATTGAGAAGAGAAAAATCAGGACTATTTAATATAGTTAAAATATACTGTTAATATTATAAGAGACTACGAGATCCAAGGTACCCTTAAAATGTATTTAAAACTCCAAATATAATTTGCGCCATTACACTTTGCATAAAAAAAGTAACTCAAAATACCCTGTTTGGACACTTCCTTATTTCAAGTGGTATTACTAAAATTCTCAGTATACATATTTATGAAGCTCAAAAGTATAGATAGGTTTACCTTAAATAATACCAACCACAATTTTTTTTATTGTTATGTATTAAAACAATGCACAGTAAATAAGTACATTATGAGATGTGCTACAACTGTTATTCTCGTCCGTTAAACCTTACACAATTAATAACAAATCACTTTGCAAAAACCAAAGCTTTTTTAAATCACATTGCAATTACAATGGATGAAATAAATCTGCCAGACTGTCAAAAATATTATTAAAAACTATGAGGTAAATCACTGATATAAAAAAATGCACAAGTTATGATGCCATGAAGCGTAAAGTATTTAAAATGTATATAAACCTCTACTAAAAATATATATCTTTGACATTATGTACACAATAAAATCTTTAAGGAACCTACATACTTGTGGCTATCACTGAATTAATAACTGCTGTAGTACTATTTTGAGGAGTTCCCATATCTAAAATAAATAATTAACAAATGCCTAAATGTTGTTTTGGAAAATAAATTTTGGCATAATTTAATAGGCACTGATTTAGGATAAAATGCTTATTGATATTTAATTTTTGAATAAGTATATCCAACGTAAGTTAAAACCAAATGCCAATGCAAATCTACGGAAATATATCGACGAAATGGGACGTCATCAAACAGCATTTACACATAGTCTGAACAAATTACACCCACTCCTTTGGCTATTATAAAAAATATACACCAGCAAATTATTTTTCCCGTTAATTTTGCAAGAAAAATGGCTCTTACCAATAAGACAACATGTCTGATCATATGATGACTGGATTTTATTTCATTCTACACATAGAATAAGTATAACAAACATGGCAATAGTGTGTTTGTTTTTAACGTCGAATCCAGTTTAAGCGCAACTTTGTATATAACCCCTAACCAGCAAAGGTTAGTCTTATATTTCTTTTATTGAGCTTTTTAGTTAAAATTTCCTCGACGTCCATTCCTTTCACATCATTATTTTAACCATCTATTGAGCTTTCAGTTAAGGTGCCTTTAAATTTATTTCATTTCTTGACTGTATCAGGCGCTACCGAAGCATGCAAAATTTACCTGGGTTGAAAACTTCACACTCAAGTCATGGAACTAGTGCCGGAATACTAAATATTTCCTGAAGTCGGCACTAAATTCGCTTTTTTGCCAACATTTTTTGAGTTTGCGTTCATAAAAAATTTTAAAGCTCACTAAATCTGAAAATATTCTATAATTGTAAATATGTAACATTACTATCAGTTATCACCAATTAAAGGTGGTTCAGGGTAGTCATTCGATGAAACTTTTGAGGTAAGATCACAATTCTACAATTTTTTTTTTCCTAATTGGATTCACCGAAAAAAAAAATCACCGAAAACAACTGTATTGTCGTAAATTTAATTTTTACTTTACTGGACGAATAAGACCAGGGCACATCAGCAAAGAAACATAAAAGTGAAAGAGCAGAAACAAGAAGATATTGGGCAGCTCCCTTGATTTTACCCGCTTTTAATGTATTTTTTATCTCCATCACCACCATTTTTATCTAAATGGTTTGGTAGAGATCTTTATTCTCCTTCTACCCTGCTCGATTTTAATTAACATAAGTCCTGGCATGAAGTTATGGAATATATTGTGTTAGGTGCGTCGTTTCCTGTAGGAACTATAAAATAATTATTATTTTCGTTATTTTCTTAAATTGGAAGCATAAATCCCACGATAATGTCACCAGAATGATAATCAAAAGGAGCAAACCTATTAAGAATTATTCACAGCAAATATGTTATACACAAACTCACAACCATTTTGACCCGTTTTTCAAATTGCATTTCAAACTGCTTTCAACCAAAAATCAATACGAAACAAACTTACCCTTCAAATAAAAAAAAATAACCGTAACACAAAAAGTCCCCAAATACTGAGGTAAAAACACTAAAACGTGTTAAACATCGGAAACCAGTTTTCTTGCAAGTTTTTTAATAATTAAAAGGGCTACCGACTATATGCTTCCAACATTTCCAGAAATAGTTTGTTCATTGGCACGAGATCTTGCTGATGTACGTTCGTCCAGAAGCGTCTCACTATATGATCGGCCTGTCGCAATGATGGCAAGCAAAGCAGCAGTTGCTGTATTTGATTAAACACGGTCGATGGTCTGTGAAAAACAAAAATATAATTTAGGATTGCCTGGGTACTAAATTTGGTCAATATTATCTCAACCTGGACGGTTCATACTCAATTTAGCTGAATATCCTTTTGCAAACACTAGATTACACCATACATAAATGGAAAATAATGGATAATTTTTCTGAATTGTTGCCAAAATTATCTGATTTATTTTTTGATTTTTTCTTGTCTTGTTTCAAAGTTTTTGGTTTAGTGCTAATACAAAAATTATTCCAAATTGGAAATAACGTTGTTATAACTGGTGCAAAAACTGTCTACCACTAACAATAGAGACAGTAATTTTTATCGCCTTCTACTATTATTTTTCGAGACTTACTATGAAACTATGACATAAAATGACTGAAAACCTGCAGCCGACATAAACAAATATTTATGGACTATTTCTATTATCCATTATCACCCTCAAATTTTACAGGTCAGAATTTTCTCAATGTCTTTATGTGGGAATAAATTGGAGCCAATTTAAACACCTTTTTTATCTTTTAAAACATAAATCTGAAAATTTTTCAAAAATCTAAGTCATTACAAAAATATTAAAGAAGAAGAAACGGCAGCATCGCATCATGAAAAACTAACCAAAACTATCCTATCAGACAGAAAAACAAAATCAAATCTAAGTATAGAACTAATTGAGAATTTTCAACATTTTATAACAAAAAAGTGAAACAAAGCATTTAGTATTTTAATTTTGGAATTAGTGTAAATACCTTAATATTCCAACTGCATCTGACAACGCACTCAATATTGCATCCTTAAACTTTTTCAATGACTGATATTCGTCCAATTTTACGTCGGAATTTGTTAAAACAAGAGCTTTCAGTAAGTAATACTCTTCCTTCAGCATCGCCAAACCTTCAAGCCTCTCAACAATATGGAAGCACTGCAACCAAACAAAATCTTGAATTTTTTACTAGCAACTCGTTCGTTGGTGTACTTACTGTCTGATAAAGCTCTAAAGCGCCGCAATCTTTAGACTGCTTCTCATCTAGCGTAAAATCTGTGGCGAACTTTAACCGGCCCAAACTAATCATAGGGAGACTACGAAACGCCAACGTCAGGGTCAATATTTCGGCCCAAGTACTCTGTAAAAGTCGCATTTGATCGTTAAGTGACAGATCCGTAAAGCCAGGTATTTGCTTCGCCCAACCAATAATGCCAACTAACTCTCTGTCGTACAGATCGCTCAAAATAGACAACGTTCTGTGCTTCGAGCTTTCTAATACCGTGTTGATTTCCAGGCAATCGGGTTCGCATGATATAAGTGCATCCAACATTTTAATATCTGAAAAGTAGTCTAGTTTTGGGAAATTATTAAATGCAATGGGGTTACTTTATGTTTAGTTTATTCAGTTTAAGTGAATGTGAAATTAGTTCGAAATGATAGAAAATAGCAGAGAACACGTCAATACTGTGTGCTACTTTCAAAGAAACATATTTCTAAATTTAGCATAAATAGAGATGTTTTGCACATTTTTAAAATGAGTAAATCGGCTACAGAGATTAACAATAAAAATCCACTCGTCTTCTCACATTTTTGCGATAGATTGGGTAAGCATTGTTATTATGGTATACTTTGGAATAGAATGTGACGAGCGACCTGGGCCGTCGGGACTTCATGCCCGAGCGGTTGACTATGGAGGCCGCTTTTCAATAAAGAACTCGAACATTCTATACTCAACCCGAGAAGGCGTTGGCCACCTACAAAAGCTAAACACCGTTCGATAGAGAACAGATGGTAGCGCGATATTACTCGGACCATCTGCGCGCGAAAAATAAATAGTCTACAGACATAAATGATAGATTTTGTGAATTATTAGTAGTGTGTGCAGAGTTAACAGCAGCATGTATGAAGGGTGATTCACATTGGGCTACCTATCCGGATTATTTACGCACCTACAGCGTTACCAATTTAACTCGAAACAGACGAAACATTTTAAATTCTGAGTAACTCTTTCTAACATTTCCCTATGCCTATCTATTTCCTCCTACCTATTTACTCTGGAAAAAAATCATTTTAATTTATTTTGCAGAAAAATTCCGCTTTATTAAAGCTTAACAATTTGTTTCAATGATCAAAAATCATTTCTGAAACAAAATTTTTAAAGATAAAAAAAAATTCATTACCGTCAGGAAGTTCATAATTTATCAACAAAATATCTATACATATCCGTATGCCCATTGGTAACCGTTTCTTATATCTGAGTAATTAAAAATGCATGCAAAAAAGGTCACTCTCATAAATTATTTAACTAGGTTGGCTAGGGCTTACGTTACTTCAAAAGTATTTGGCCTGGGCCAATAGTTTTAAATAGAACTCGGAAAAACAAAAACCGAAATCTAAACAACGGTATATGAAAATTCTGTTGATAAATTATTCTTCTTAACTGTAATGTTAAATATTTAGGGTAATGTTAAAAAAAAAGATTTTTTACTACCGTCCTGCCTAATTACACACCGATCTAGAGTACAGGAAGTATCACCTTACCACTTCAGTTTCGTTTCAAACGGATCTGAGCCACTTCGGACATTTCCGGGATTTTACCGCATGGGTTTGGGGGCAATCAGATGTTTTCGGAGATATTTCCCACGCCTTGAATTGTGACGTTTGTCAATTCTGACGGTCATGTCAATGAATATATTCGTGTTGTTTTGCGAAAATGTACCCAAAAACTAACGGTGGTAGAAAAAGTATAACATCCAACACGTTCGGTTACTCTTTTATTAAACACTCGCTACGCTGGTGTCAAATAAACTCGTGAGTCAAATGCCGCTTACCGCATTTTTTGCATAATATACTACTTTGACAGGGGTTAGAAATCCGTGCGGTAATATCCCAGAAATGTCAGAAGTGGCTCGGATCCGTGGGAAACGAAACTGACCTGGTAAAGTGACGCTTCCCGCACCCTAGATCATGTGTAATTAGGCATTTTACAGACGGGAATCGAAAAACACATTAATTTTTAATCAAGTGGTGTTTTTCTGCAAAAAAAATCCCCAATTAAGAAAAAGAGGAAAAGTTTTTGCGCACCATTTTGCGCAAAATCAGAAAACGTACTAATATACATGTGCCATTTTTATTTCCAATGTTGTAACCATTGAATAGGTAACGCTGCAGGTGTGTAAATGTTTCATATTTTGATTTTGAAAGATTGTTTTTTTTGGACAGAATAAATTTTTATTTCACTTTAACTTTTTTGTGGATTAACTTATTCACGACTTTTTATTGAAAAAATATAACGTTGGAGATTCTTGCTAGAAATTACTTCCCGGGCAGATTCTAGATGATAAGGACAGATGAATGAGGCCCAAGGCCCGATTAGAAAACTGTTACGAATTATCAAATCACAATATAAGAAGTGCAAGCGGCCGTGACCAAAATAATTTTAAATAATAATAAAAATAAAAATTGAATGAATCCCATTGAATGAATAAAATGAAACGCATAGTATCATAGTCGGGCATTCCTTGAAAAGGGTTATCGAAAAATTGGATATCACAAAAGCATAATAATATATTATAAAATACATATTATTATTAAATAATGATAGATAACATTCTACAATTGCAAGATTTTATTTAAAACTTTTGATTGAATTTGAAAAATATCACAAGAAAAAAGGGACAACCGACACTCTATTAGGCATGAGCCAAGCAAACCTGAAAATCTTGGTCTACCTGACACTGCAACCTCAAATATCGCATGAGAAAGATAAGTGCGGGATGGGCGTGGAAGATGAGCAAACGGCGTATCATATGCCTTAAAGTTAAACATCTGAAGATCTTCTACTTAAAGTGTGTTGTCTGGGTTCAGGCATCATTGGAATCCACACACATTCTACAGCTATTCTAAAGAGTTAATTATGACAACCTTAGGGCCCCTGACGACATGGTCGAAGTCTTGTTTATCTTACTTTTACAATGATATTACAGTTTTAAAAATTAAATTGTATGTGTTGCAAATTAGCTAAATTTCTCAATTCTCCATCTTAATAAAAGAATCTCTGAAAACAATGTTTTTATATGTGTCTTAGGTATAACGTAACAATTTGTCAAATCTTATTTGGATATAATAATCTGATATAATCAAAAAAACAAAGTTACCTTCAAGTAAAAGATGAGGTCTCGGTGCAGTAACGACCTGTACCTGATAGGGACTTTCGGGATTTCGGCGATACTTCTGTCGTCCGCCGCGCACTCTATCCAGTCGAACTCCTTCTTTTAGCATACCGGATCTCAAACATTTCCTAAACCTACAGGCTTGACAGGCTTTCCTTCGTCTTTTGTTTATTTCGCATTCACCAGACGCAGGACAGGTATACTCAATATTGCCTGTAAATTTAATAACATATAGTAGAATGTGCACAAGGCCTTTTTAATTATCATACATATTGGTGGTGGCAAGGTGGCTCATCAGGGTAACTTTTTTCTCCCAAATTCTAAGTTTAATATTTCAGGTCCATATTTAGGATAAATTGAAAAAAATAAGTTCTAATATTACAGATTCTGACAAATTTTGGCTAAACTGTTTTCGAAATTTATGGGAGATGATAGCCTTTTTTAGAAGGGTGGCGTGTAGGCTATCATATTAAAGTCAAAAATTGTCCTCATCATAAACAAACTTGGCGTGCTTCAGCATTCTTCCAGAAGAACTTTTCTTGGAAGTTGTACTTCCTTGTACGATTCCGATGAGCCACCCTATATAATTAAAATATTTTAATACAATATCATATTACCCTGTATTGTCCTTTTGAAAAATGCCTTGCAAGCCTCACACGATGCCACTCCATAGTGAAAACCAGAGGCAAAATCTCCGCACACTAAACACAGTCTTCTTGGAGAATCGTCGTCATTTTTTGAATCACCCTGTACAACAAAGATAATTTTCCGTGTTTGTGGATTAATTCTAAAGAGTTCATGTCAAAACCGACACAAAAGCGAACAAAAAAAATTGTTTCATTACGTATGACGGAATGGGTGGAAAACGCGAGATATATTATTGCTATTACAAGAAAAAATGAGCGACCGCCATGGAAATTTGTATAACCAGACCGTGAATTTAACATTGGAAAATAAAAAAAGCATAAACAGACTATTTACCGGAACAAGGCCCATCCCTGTATCCATATGAGGTTGTGTGGTCGATGAACAGTACTGTCGTTCTGGACTTGCAGAAGATCGATGTTTGGAGTCATATATCTCATGGTACTGTATGTCCTGGAGACGAAAAACTTCATTTTTAGCGGTTTTTCGAAATAAATTATTTTCCTCGTAAAAAGCTGAAATCCGCAACATTTCCAAAGCCACATTTAGGTATTAGTTTTTTGTAAAAAAGCTTGTTCTCGTTTATTTATACACGGGCGTTTAATATTTGTGATCATAAAAAAAAAAAAATGAATTTAATATTTTGTGAGTTTTCTTCACTGGCACTAGAACGAACGGAGTTTTTGGCATTTTGGATTTCAAAATTAAAAAATAAATGTATTAGAAATTCATTAGAAATTAAAGATTTTGTGACTTTTTGCACATGCGTTACTACTTATTTGCAATTTTGACAAACAGGAACTTATGTTATGTTGGATCTAGAATAAACGAAGTTTTTGACATTTTTTAGAATTACTGGCTAGCTAGGACAAATATGTCAAGATTATCCGATATTTACAAAAATTCGTTATAATTCCAGAAGCAAAACTAATAAGTGGTAAACCACACCCTAAATTTTGACTTTCTATTTTTTGTTTTTTCAAAAACCTTAAAACAGGAAACTATTTTACAAAAATAATTATAAATTAATAGAGCATTTTTTACAATAAATTAATGTTTTTATAAACAAACTATTTTAGGTTAGCAATTTCTGAAAGTATCCCAAGAAGACCAAGTTTTGACTAAATTTTTATTTCAAATTGAATTTTTATATGAAATGGAATCACATACCTCATCCTAGTAATCACGTAATTTTTATTTCAATTGCTATCTCGAGGATTACATTTTGTAAGAAAATGAAATACAAACTTTTATGTCAGTGGAGTGTAGACTCGAATCGTTTACTGTTGAAGTGGCAGTGGGCGAGTAGATGTTGCTATCTGATGGCGAACAATCTGTGAATCCTTCAAGCTCCTTTTTAATGGTTGGATTACTATCAGGAGCGTGACCCGGATCAGTCATAATGGATACCTGAAAATGAAATTTTGTTTTACGCAAATTTGGTATCGTGGAATCTGTAACGATAATTTTAGACGATTTCAGTAACATATTAAAATAATGGAATAATTGTTTTAAACAATACTTATTGTACTTCACAAGGATAACACCGTTAATCATTTTAGATATACAAAAAATGTACTCTTTGTAAAATAAAATGAAAATATGAAAAAACAAGTAAAAATATTAGTTCGACGTCTGGCGTAGGTGGTAAATTAGGATACTTCTGATTAGGCATCTTAATCCGTCCACGCTCTCCGTAGATAATAAATGGAAAATCCTACGACATTATATTGTTCAAATATTTTGTAAAAACGATTTTTTCGAAAATCTAGCTATATTTTGCAGCCTCTAAAACCCCTAAATAATAAAATTTCATAATTAAATCTTTTTTGGGAAAATTTATGTAAAATGACAAACAAATGCAATTGCAATGCAACTCAATTGGCAATAGAGGGTGGTGATTTGGCATCTAGGCAAAGGCTATTTCGCGTCCTGGTCTAGAACTGCAAAAACTTTCATATTTTTGTATTAAGCGAAAAATTGCACCCCTTTCCAAATCGCCCTTAATTGAAAGCTTCAGGTAGGCTGTGGAAGTGGTTTTCAACTTTCTAAGCACGAAAAGCATAGATGTTAATTTTTTACATAAAACATGAGCACTCCAATTAAGATTATCGTCCAAGATGGCACCAAGGAGAGTAATGGTGTCACCCTTAGTAAGAGATGCATTGGCTGAAATTAAAAATTTTGTGTTTTATGATTACTTAAAAATTAATTGTCACACGTTTAGGCCAACGTATTGCGTTTGATTTTTAAAATACGATTCAAAAATAATAATGTATATTGAGACAAGCTAATAGTTGATAATTTCCTCATCACAATTTCATGACTGACGGAATCAAACACTTTCGAAATATTGTAAAGAGCCATGGTCACCATCTTCCAAGACCATTAAGAAGCTCTGACACTACCTTTCGAACTGCATGTGTAGTATAGGCAAAAACTGTGTTCCCTATTCCTCACAAAAAAGGATATACTTAATAAATAATCAAATAACAATTCTATTAGGATTATTTCTAAAATTTTCCCAAAAATCGGGACGATACAAATAGGTCGATAATTCTCAAAATCCGACCTTTTACCTTTTTTGAATAGTGGGCTTTTACGCATTCAAACTGATCTGGAAACGTGGCAGTTGTTAAACAAACGTTAAATAAATATTATAATAAAGGCACTAAAGTGTGCTTAAATTTTTTTATTATCTCACTATTAATATTACATTCATTACCATATCATCTTTAATAAAATAATATATATATAAATATAATGTAATGTATAATGCAATATCGATCACAGGCGGAAAATGTCGGCCACGCCCACCGCAATTGAAGCCACTGCTTTGACATTAGTATTGGGACTGACCACTTCTTAATTGACCGGTCAAATTCGATCAAAATGTTCTAAATAAAATCTTACAATTGTAGAGTGTTATCTATCATTATTTAATAATAACATGTATTTTATAATACATTATTATGCGATTTGTCTAACACTTTTTACTGGAATCAACCCATTCATAAATTATACGTCTGTTTTCGGATCCATACTTTTTAATTTTTTGAAGATAATTAAAAGCGCGCAATCAATGGGATTGCGACATTGAATTCCCATTTATATCAATAACTTTAATAATTATATTAGTTTCATCTTCTTGCAGCTTCATTTTCAGTTTATCTAAGGAAGGAATAACCTGGTTTTGATAAAGGTAATGTTTTCCTTCCTAGTATATACATATACTTGTCACTATTGTCCAGACGGTGAGGTTGAAAATCACTACGTTTTTTTTCTTCATTCAATAATTCACCGTTATCGAAGATATTGACGTTTTTGTAAGTAAGTAATTTTTTAATCTTTTTGTCTAATGAATCTTTTTCACAATTTGTTTTGCATTTAATGACAAGTGATTTCGACGTGACATAATGGAAATATTACTGACATACCAGTAAGGAGCTTTTTCGAAACGCATAGTAAAACGGGTTATTCAACACATTTGTTGTGAGACACACCATACTCATATTTAAATGTAGTAATCAAAGCTCTCGCAAAAAAGTATTCGTGGGCCTACCCTCTATGCAGGTGATAGGTACAAAAATAACGCTAATAAATTATCTTCCGCATCCACAATAAGAAATGCAAATTCGAATCGAATGGGATATTTCAAAACGTCGAGACGGCGCGAACGACCAATCAATCCCGAGACGAATGACGATGATGAGGCATCACCGTAAACGGAAACATCAACAAAACTTGGCCTTGCACTTGAACTTAAAGGGGGAGCTGACGACTGAAAAAAAAACAAACAGGCTCATTCAAGGCTGACTGGTTCTGCTATTTTCACCAATTTTGTCTACCACAAGTACAACAAAACGAAAACGAGAAGGTTCAAAAATCATGTTTAATTTCAATCAACTTAATGGATACTGACGATACATCTGGTTGTGGGATAAACAAGTAATATGAACGAAGTTAACAATTCACTATTTTCCAAAAAAAAAAAGGGTCATACTCATCAAGCAATTTAATTGTTTCTCAATGGATTTTAATGGATTTTTGCAACTTTAACCTAAATTTCTAATAATATATTGCAAACTTTGCTTGTAATTCTAGACCATGTGCGCCATTTCAAATAAAGCAGAAAATTTCACGACGGCCCGCGTACAACAAATGCAATGGTGCCCGTTTAAAAGTTTTTATAGCTAAAATAATTATAAAATTTGTACAAAATTTTAAAAGGAACTATACACTTTATTACTCGCTGGTAAGTGGATAGCTTTTGTTAATTTGGTTTGATATTGGTTAGCAGCAATTGGTTTCTGTCTTGGTATTCGTAGTTTAGAAAGAATATAAGAAGAGTCAACTTGTCTTGTCTAGAACGAAACAGGCTATATCGCTTTTGTTTTAAGGATTTTCAACTTTGGTCAAATGTGCTGTAATTATGTTTTCAATTTGTCCCAGAGAACCGTCAATTGTGTTATCCCCAGATAGCTGATCTTAAATAATATATGCCACATACTGAAGTAAGACGATTGACAGTATTGTTCTTTGTATTGTTGCTTTTACTGTCATTTGTCTTGGTGATAACTTCAGGAAAGAAAGTATAATAAATGTATGCCTATGTGGAGAAACCACGTCCTTGATTTGTTTTAATTTTTAAACCTAAAAAAAAACTGTCATACATAAGATTTTACCTATAGGTTTATTTTTTTTTACCACCAACTTTTAATAAAAAATAAGTGAAATTTTATTTGGTCCTGAATATTTGTCTGTATTTGTATTTTGATTTATCCTTAAGGTTTTGTTTCGTGAAAATTACAATTATGATAGACTTTATTTCCATTGAAGTTTTAAGTTTTGTTTAGGAATTGATTTTGATTGCATGGGCCGGGTCACTGCCAGATTCATCATCAAAAAAAAAAGATAAAAACTTGATATAAACGTAGATCCGGAAATCGGTAGGCTGGATGTTAAATATTAAAAAAAAACGGCTTTTTATAAGATTATTAGATTTTTTGTCCGGTTTTAATAAAATAAAGGTCTAATTTTGCTTCAACTAAATTAAAATTGTGAAGTCCAGTACCGGCCGGGAGGTATCCAAAGGAAAAATATTGAAAAAAAACTGTAGCATACCACTGACCTTTTTGCAAATTTCACCATTTACTTCAAATAAGCCAAAAAAAGTACAACTTTAGTAGTAGTTAGTAGTTTTCGTATATTGTGTCGTTTTCGTATTTTTCATTAGTACTAATGTGATTTTGTTATACCTAGATAAACACACATAAATTTGGGAAACTCCTTAGAAGTCAGTTCCTGACGTTCTGTCCTGCAAAATACCCATTGGTCAGAGGTTTTATTGCCGTCTGCAGGTTATTCCGATAAAGACGATAAAGAGAATGATATACTTCGAGACAAAGTATACCATTCTCCTTTAAAACCTTGCACCAATGACTTTTGATCTTAAATTAGAATTCAACCAAGGACTATTGAGACAAAGTCAATGAAGTTAGTTAAAAAACAGTTAATTAACGAATAATAAAGATTATGACAACAATGTATTACAAAACAAAGATGATTGTCACTTAAAAGCAAAATACTTGATGGAAGGCCAATTTATTTGTAAGAAAAGAAAAAATACCGTGATCGCAATTCATTCTATAATTGAGTACGCCCAATAGGTGAGACACAATAATTATTGTAATTACATCATAGTAAATGTTTTTTTTTCTACTTCTTTCTGTAAAATACCCAATTATACACCGATCTAACGAGCGAAAAGTGTCATTTTACCCCGTCAATTTCGTTTCCTACGGCTGCGAACCACTTCGGATATATCCGGAATATTACCGCCCGAGTTTGGGAGCAACAAACAGTCTTTTGAACTTTTGGCCACAATAAACTTTCAAAATTGACGCCATTGAATATGTTGAAAATAACGAGCATCAGCTTAATTATGAGCATGTAGCCTATGTCGTAAAGATTTTATAAAAATATTGAATACCCTGTATCTTAGAAACTAAAACGTTGGACTTATACCGATAAACGCAAATCAATATGCGTCGTACTAAATCCGGGTCCTTAGGGTTGAAAAGTTATTAGGAGCTGAAAAAGCTCAAGTAAATAACTGTTAACTTCCAATGGAGAAAAACAAAGAATCGGTATATCCCTCAATCAAAACAAATAAATACAACACAAAAATGTGATGACCTTTGGAGCTTTCGACATGTTTCCTTTCTGAATTTGAAGTGCGCAAAGCAGCCTGGTCTTTTTGAAAGAGATTTGCGTACACAATAATTTTATTATCAACATGCAACAACGAACTTAAGAAATAGATAATTCCTAGAGTAGAAACGTCATTGCCTATTTTCGCTTTTAATGTTTGACGCAAAACATTTTTTACTACAATGCTACTAATTACA